TAGTATAGTATAGTATAATATAATATGATATAATATAATATAATATAATATAATATAATATAATATAATATAATATTATACTATATTATACTATATTATATTATATTATATTATATTATATTATATTATATAGTTATTCGGAACAGTAGCCGACTGGCAACTGGACTTCTAGGGTGCGCTTTGGAGTTTGCTGTTTCGCACGATGATAGAGTTCGAATTTCGAGCTTATGTAGGCTTTGGGGCTTGGAGTTGCGGAGTGCCGGATTCGGCGGTGCCGCCATACCGGCCCCATTCAGTTGAGGGCTTAGGGTTTAGGGCTTATAGGGTTTCAGGCCCTTGTCTGGGATCCCGCAACTGAGCACACTTAGGACACAAGCTGGGGTCTAACCTGTCCGCTACATCTGAAGCTCACGTTGGGGGTTTCATTTATCGATTCCTGACTTCCTGGGAGCGTTTTGCTTTTTGTACCACTGGTCTTGGCGCCTCCTGAACACTGGGGCCACCAGGGCTCACTAGGGATCTGAGTGGCGTCGGAAGTCACCTGCGGCAACCTTTTCAACGATCTTGAAGCCCTTGGTCCAGAGCCCGACACTGCACACTTTAGCCCTAAACCCGGAATCCCATAAAGCAATCGAGAACTCATATCCTAGGCATAAAGGGCAAAGGGAATCCCAATCCGAAATCCCGGACCCAAAAGCGGCTCCTCCTTGCAAACAGCCACGATATCTGACCCCATATCCCAAATCCTTAAATCGAATTCCGAGTTTCGGGTCCAAGATTGAAGCTGTTGTATGCTTTAAGCATTAGGCTTTTTAGGGTGACAGGGTCTTTGGGCTCCATAGTGTTAGGGCTTCGTAGATTTAGGGCAATTTAGAAGTCAGTGCTATTTATTAGAGGTTACGGTTCCAGGGCTCAGGGGGTCTCGCCCGAGCCTGTATTCTCCAACGATCAAACTCTCTCAGGCCACACATCTAACCCTTAACCTTTACGAGAATAGCCGTAAATGGCCGTCAACTACGGCACGTCACTGTTCTAGAACTACCCGACGCCCTGAACACTACACCCTCCAACCAATGGCCCCCCATATCTCGAACCCTAGAGCTCAATAGCCCCACACATTATTCTGAGCCTGCTACGCTCTCTCATTTTGTCGTTTCGAAAACATCGGAGACTTCGGGCCAAAATTCTCTTTCTGCCGCAGCACGTCTTTCCGTCTCTCGCATGCGCAGCCTTACAGTAGCCAAGATCGAGCAGTCCCATACGGTAGAAGCTTATTAATCACGACATTCGGGTCGACGAAAGGGATCCCGGAGAGCTTGGAGCAGTTCGCCTGGCTCAAGGGCTTCTTTCTGCCAAGGGCTCAAGGCTTGAGGTTGGGGAGCTATAGGTTAGGCTGCACGGTTCAATTTGATTCGGGCCTTATGCTAGTGCTGCAGGACGCGCAAGTATTCCCTTTCGAATGTTCACTAACCCAAATGATCTTCAGCATGCAAAACAGAAACAGCAGCATTTGCACTGCGCAAAACGATAGCAGCAGCAGCAGCAGCAGCAGCAGCAGCAGCAGCAGCAGCAGCAGCAGCAGCAGAATTATGAGTAGCGACGGCTTCACCACACGAGCAGCACAACTAGCACCAGCAGCAGCGTCCTAAGCAGCACTGGGATTTATATTGTTTCGCTACATAAAGAAGGATTTCGTCCAAGAAGCCTCAGGCGCGAGGTAGTCCGGGCAGCACGCCGAAAAGTTGTGCACGTGCACGATGGGCGAGCGTGCCCCAACCATTTTGCAAACCCTCTCCTCGGCACCTTCGACCTTAAGGTGTGGAGTGTCATGCTGGTGGTCAGCAAGCAAAGGACCGTAGGTTAAGTTCTAGGGCTTCAGGTTGTGCCTTGACCGATGATATGTGACGACTATACCAGCTGCTCCTGGCAATATATAGAAATGACATGTGACATAGTAGTAGCCACACACCGGGTCCAACATCTAGCGTTGGAGCACTCTAAAGTTTAGAGCTCACTAAGCTTCTTGGCAATATGATACTGAAGGAAGCAGATGCGAGGCGAAAAAATGTTCGGTCGTCCGAGGGAGGGCAGCTGCGGGTAGCTCCTGTGCCGCCAAGCGCAAATTCACTTGGCGGAAGTCAGCCTATCAGTACCGCGCACGTCAACCGCCTCGTTGTTCGAGGCGCTGTGTTGTGGAAACTAACCGCCTGGTTTAGAACCTAACCGCCTAGTTTCGTAGATGCATGTTTCGGACCTTTTGTTTGCATCATGACCAAACCGTTGTCACAGATTTCGAGATAAAGCGACGTCGCTCTTTCAAAAATGGTGTTTTCGTTGCTTTGTTTGAGGGGGTTCTGATGCAACCGCGGGTGGGCGTGATGCTGGGTGGGGTGATGCTGGGAGGGGCGCACATCGATAGATAGTAGTGTGGCACGAGGAACCGCCCGGTTTGGGCGCGATGCTGGCGTGATGCTGCAGATTTACCGCATCCTATGCTACTGCATGGACATGATTTTGTAGCCGAAAACTTGCTGCGGTTACAACGAATTCTTCAGCACTCTAAAACGTGCTGAGGCCCCTGCACATACCCCAAAAGCACCACTGCTAAACACTCAAAGCTTGAAGGTTAGTCAAATAGCCCAGCAAAACAGGGAGGTTGGTGAACCGCCGCGTTTGTCAGGGCTGTCACGGACAGGGAGGGGTGCTGACAAGGCCCGCATGGACGAATTTCTTGATTGGAGTGACAACACCTAGTTCTGAAGAAAATCTGAGGGACTGTCTGCAAAATTCCCCGAGCTAGGATACCATCGTACAGAATCCAACCCATCTTTCTGTGCAGCCGTGACCCTGCTTTGGGCCCTGCATGTGTTCGGAAATGCCAGCACGTGTCATCAGAAACCAACAACCGTTTCCGGCACAGGCCAAGCAATCGTGCACGACTAAACAGCGCATGCCCACAGCTGAAGCAGTGGATACTCTGGAACCTTTGGGAAGGCCTAGCAAAACAAGCCTTATGGGCTCGTGTAGACAGAACAGAAAAGGGTCGTATCAGTCGCACTGCGCTTCTTGCTCCAATGCAGGTTTACAGGAGTGCGGCTGAAACAAGCTGCGCAAACCCACCAGCAAAGTCGCCACATCAATTTGGGTTGGACAGGATGTGAGCAGCCGATTTTTGGAGTTGAGGGTTTGCCCGCTTGGGCACTTGGGGTTTGCAGGTTCAGGTAGGTCACATAAGATGCTGGCTTCGGCCTTGCGCTTGTGCTTTAAATGACATGGGCTCTTATTTGATTCGGCCTCAAAGTCCCAAAGGCTTGAGTTTGGGATTTCCTTTTTAGCGTCGGGTACGCTTGCTGCCGGATTATGGAAGCAAGTGTCCGTTTATGAGTTGGGGCTTGGTGTTGACGTCTATGTGTTTTTGTTTGCACTCGATTCGAGAAAGACACACGCAATCGGCGAAAGTATGGCTCTATAGCTTTATATAATCACTACACAATCTGCATAGCTTCACCTCGCTCAATCCAACACGAAAGCCCACGGTCGGCCCCTCAAACCTTTCAGGCTATAGGCTTAGCGCTCACACGGGTGGGACAGGAAAAACTTGCCAAAAAACTTGCGAGTCACCCACGTGAACCTCCTGGATCGAAGTACATTCGCGATGGCGCAAGTAAAGTGCTTCTCGGCGCCATACTTGTCTGAGCATTCATCCACCAACTTGTAGTCCACAGCTTGCGGGCGGAGCGCAAAAAAGTCTGTGTGGATTTGGTCACCCATGCACGTTCCGAAGATTCCATCGATGGAGGGATTCTCCATTGTCTTCTTCAACCACGTGTCATCCATGATTAGCACGTCTGCATTCAGCCTGATAACCCAGTCGTAGCCCTCGAACCACTTTTCCTGGTATCCCTTTTCACCGAAACCATCTTTGACTGCTTTTGTGGCGCCCTGTTGCCAACCGTCGTTGACATACTTCTTGACAGTAACGTTGCGGAAATGAAACCGCTCAATGTCCGAACTGCTGATATTTCCCGATGTGTACAGAATCAGGTCGGCATGCTGCAACATTGGAATTTGCTGGGCCGCTCGACCCCAGCACGGCAGGTACTTTTGGTGCGCTTCACCTCTGTTCACAGTCAGCAGCAAAACCAACATAACACAAGCCGTAAATTGGCAAGCCCATGCCCAAGCCCAGACTCGTTTACCCCCAACCGAGCACACTCACCCGCAAGCATTGACAACAAATGTTCAACTTTAATACCTAGAACCTGGACATTGGAGCTGAACTTGGAAACTCCAAACCTAGTGCTTGAAGCTTGAAAAACCTACTGCGGACACCTTGAGCCTGCCCAGAGAACCTTGACCCTATAAAGCCCAAGCCTCCCCACAGTACATTGCAAGCCTGCGACCGTTAGTCTCGACCTGTACCGCATCAACTTCAAGCCCAACTCAACAACCCCTGCCCAGGAAGACCGTGAAACCATCGGCTATCTTAAGAATGTCGGGGAACCTGCACTAAAGCTCGTGCCCGTTGGGGAGACTCCACCAAAAATACTCAGTAAGTGTCCGCATCGTACTGGAGACCCCTTGAATGAAACCGGGTTACTCCAATGCGTCGTCATAAAGATCGCGACTCGAAGCGGAGCCTTGCAAGCTTGATCACGGCTTGAAGCCTCTATGTCGATGTATATTACAGGGTGATCTTGCAAGAGGATGAAGAGACCACGGGTCGCTGCAGAAATGCTCAGACTGTGGGTGTGTAGCGGCGCCATACACCATTGAAATCCTAATGTCCCACAATTCGATCAACTCCCACGCAAAGGCGCCGCCATCTCGCGCCGGGGTGGTCCACCGAAGGACCTTGTAGTTTAAGGCTAAGGGACGTTTCCTACAGTCCTGGGTCCCACTCAACCATTTTCGTTCTAGCCTAAGCGCGTTGAAGTGGTCAAGGGGGTTGAAGCTGAAGGGCTGCGGCGTTCCGGAGCTTCGGGATTATTGTGGTTTGGGGTGTTGAGGCACTGACCCTTATAAACCTTTTTAACCCCAAACCATAAACCCCACATTTGGGACGATTTCGGCCTCGGAATCGAAAGCTCGGGGTTTCCGAACTGTGTTTGCGGCTTTAGAGCTTACGGCCATTCTTTAGTGTTTCTGGATTTTAGGGTTTCAAGGGTGTGGGTTCACGACTTATGTGGTGTAGGGCTTTGCATCTGTAAGGTTTCGGGTTGAGTGTACCTGCGATATATGCTCACGTCGGCAGTATTGGTTAGCTTTGCACGCTCTGGCGAAATGTACGCAATACCTTCACCTGATCCACATCCAGCATGTAAACCCCAGAGGCCACGGCGCAGCGGTCTGCATGGACCCAGGCGCGGGCGTAGGGCCTGCTGCGAGTGCAGGCTCTGGGTCTTACTGCAGGGGCCTCAGCAATTAGGACAAGGGTTCTGGGACCCCGAAAGGCTAGAATTCGGTTCTTATGCTAATTTTGCGAGGGTTGTTCATGCTTAAGCGAGTTCAATATAAGGGCGTTAGCGCATAGAACAGGGCTATGGGGCGTCATAAAGGCTAAACCGGCTTTATCGGGCTTGACGTGCTTACTAATTGGAGTGGGGTTTGAGGGTACATAACCCTGCAACTTTATCTAGGACCCATGAAGGGTGTATATCATTACTGCTTAACGAGAGCTCCGTATCAAGCACTAGGAATTCAATCATTTAGGGTTTGGCAGGTCAAGGACTTCCGGCTCTAAGGTTTTGGGGGTTGGGGTTTTAGGCATCTGGGGTTTTACGAAGTCGGGATTCGGGATTTGGGCTTAGGGTTCAGGAAGATGAGGCAACTGGATGATGGGACTGCGCTGGTCGTAACAGTGCTGCTGATGGCTTAAAACACAGGGCCGCAAGACTGAGAAAAGGCTTGCCCTCTACACATCGTATAAAGCCTCGAGGGTGTAGGGATGTGTAGGGCTTGGGGTCTGATATAAGCACCTTCTTAATCCTATAAGAGCTTATTGTAGGGTGTGTGGCTAAGGGTTTCGGGTCTACAATGACGGTTTCCATAAGAGCTTACGAAGCAAGGTCCTCAAGGATGAGAATAGGTCCCTTCAAGGGTTCCTGTAAGGACTTATTGTGAGGGTGTAGGGTGTAGGAAGTTTACGGTTTGAGGTGTACTTTAGCGATCTTGATAATGAGTTGAGGGGTTCCTATGATGGCAAATATTTTGCTGATTATGAGGGTGGGGTAGGGTCTACTGTAGGGGCCTGAATAGTTCGTCGATTGCTTTCTTCGTGTGGGCAGAGGGGGTGTAACATGAATAGAGACTTTCATAGGGATTGTAAGAGGAGACTACTAGAATCGACTTTTTGAGCTGCTGCCAGAGCCAAGTGGGGAGCTGGCGCAGCTTGGGGCTCGGGGACGCTCGACTTTCAGGATTTCGCTTGAAGGTTTGGGGTCTGGGGACACAGCATGGGGGTGCTTTAAGAAATATCTTCGTGCAAGTGTTAAGGGACGATGAGGAGATGTTACTGCGAATCATTCAGACCTCTGTCGTTAGGCTTCAGAGTTTGAGTCGCGCCTGAGAAGTTCGGCGCTGGTTTTGGAAGGCGGTTTGGGATTCAGGCTTGGGGTGCGCAGTGTGTGGGGTGCAAAGGCAGGGGGCCTACAAAGTATGGCATCAGGGCTGTAAGGCGAGATGGGATCTTCGGAAGTAGGATGGCTAACTCCCTGCAAAGGCCCATATGAATCCTCCTGTCGAAAGCTTCTGGCCTACCGCTGAACTTCCCGTGGCACCTTGCATACCCACTCAAACCTCAACCCATATCCTTTGAATACCCAAATTCTGAAACCCTGAGCCGAAAACCCCTACTACGACACACTTCTTGTGGCAAGTGGCCTGGTGCCATGCCTGTCAAGTTGGGCAAGTTGCCCGGCTGGGCAGCGGCCTCAGAATTGCGCTCACGGGGCTTGAGAGTTTGAGTGTTTGAGATGTTCAGCTGTCTACTCCCCTGGCATATTCCAATTTAGATTTGGGCGGACTGTACGGTTTCGAAGAGAAATTTCGGAAAGTTTAAGCCCAAACTGCATGCGGCCGATGAGCAAGAGTGCCTAAGTGTTGTTCCATCACAGTGTTCAACTGCAGACACCCAGCCATCCGAAGAAGAGTGTAGCATCGGAACAATACTGTTCCGGCCTCTTCATGTTCGCTTTTCTGCCATCGAGTTCCATGCTGAGCTTCGAGTCTGATGCGCTCGTGACGCAAAGCTCTGGCGACTACGTCTGAGTTCTGGAAGAGTAGATGGGCTACTGAAGTTGGCACAAGCTTCGATGTCTCAAATGCTCCAGTAACTATGCCAGTAACTATGCATTTCGAGCGAAAATTCATCGTATTTCTGGACGGCACATCTTTAGCATACAGCCGCAACCAAGATTGCAACTTGCATGGGCTGTATGTGTTTTCATGCTGAGGCCGTGCACAACCCTACTTTGTGGCCTCTGCATACGGGCACTTCACCTCCTGCTGAAGTTGTCCGAGAAGCCTTCGTGCTGACTTGCAGGGCACACTGGCTATCCAGATCATGCTCCAAAGCCACACCTGGGAGCACGAATTTGAGTATACGGTTTACAGTTGACATGAGGTTCCAATTTGCCATCACGAGATCTTCGTCTCTTGTCTGAAACGTCTAGGCTGAGAAGACTGGGATGGACCTTCATCGCAGGTGTCGAACTTGGAGTTCTGGGGTGGTTGGGCGGGGGTTGAAGGGCAAGGTTTGGCAGTGTCTGGTTTCGGGTTCGGGGCAGGGTCGATTTTGGGGAGTGAGTTTGGAAGTGCACCGTTCCGTGGCTTATGCTTTCGGATTCAATTTGGGAGAGTCAGCTCGAAGGGCCTTGCGGGTTCCTTAAAGGCTCCCTTTACGGGCTCCTTTGGTCCCTTTGACGGTCCCTTTCAGGGGGATGCTGGCCGCATTGCCCCGTCGTCAGCCTGAGACCGACTCCCCACCCACAGACTATGCCATCGTTTCGGGAAGTCTTTTTCGAAAACAAACTGGTGAAAAATCCCAAGATTGAACAACATCCCGATCAAAGCTACACTGACGCGAAGCTACGATCTGGGACCTACCCCTTGCACGAGAAAAAGGCGCCCGACTGCTGCGGCTGCGACTACGTTGCCACACCGCGTAATGATATCAGCACAACCTCAAACACCCCAAATGAATGAAGGGCCTGCTGCCCCTCGTTAGGCAAGACACGTCGCACGACCAAAAATTCCGAAATCTCACAGTTTATTAAACCCCGAACAGCCCAAGCACCCCCTCTTCCTTCCGGCTGCCTCCAACAACCGCCAAAAGTGCCGAGAGGGCGTAGGCCACGTATCGGTTCGGCATCGGGTTCTTTCACAGACAGCCGAAGAGGCTTGAAGAAGTATCGGCACACTGTCTGCCTTTAAGTCGCCTGCTATGAGAAGTTTCCTCTGCAACAAGACAGCCTTCAAAATGACTGCTCCACAAGTTGCCCTTGCCTCTGTGTCTCCCCGGCAACCCAATGATCTTGAGCCATCGAGCAAAACCGAGCGTTGCGTTTACGAACAAACAGGTTTCACCCAACTTCCACTCCCATCACAAGCAAAGCTTGTGACGAAAACTATCTGCACCCAAAATGGTATCGGAACCCCTTTCCCTCCTCCAACAGCAGTTCCCACTGATGTCAGAGCACCCTATCGAAATTTTTGAACTCCACGAATCTGCAATACATTTTCGTCCCTAAATGCGCAACTGCGGCGCCTTCGCAGCTCAAGAACTGCTGGTCAAGCCTGGACTGCATTTTTGGAATTCGACTCTTCACTTCAGGATTCAGGACGTGTATAGGCTGTCGTGCTAGGTAGTCAGACTTGCAGATTGAACACACCAGGAGTCATAATATCTCATTTGTAGTAGTGGTGAATAGTTACGGCAGCGTCTGACTGGAATCTACTACCAAGTTACGACCACGAACGGACCAGGTACCGGGCAGTTCTGGCAGCATTGTAGTATCGTCTTCGGGCCACAGGATGAAAGAACACCAGCATGGTAATCATGATGCACATACGGGCGAAGATACCAACAGCAGCAATGGTTGTCGTAACCATACTTGATGTGCTCGTCACTGTCGCTAATTAATCGTTCAAAGGTTTATTCTGTTTAGCGGTTTAGCCTTCATACTGCTCCAGCCCTTAACCCCGAAACCCTGACCGACCCCTATCCCCTGAGACTTGACCGGCCCCAAACCATCACTGCCATCAGGCCCTAACCCAACGCCAAACTCGCTTATATTGACCCGTGCCAAGTGCGGCAGAATTGCAGGAGGAAGATCTCACTGCAAGATTCTTGCGCCAGCACGAAGGGATTGACAGAGCCTGCTTCACTCTCCAAGGATTCAGAGTGCCAAGCGGTTCAGGGTCGCGGGGCTTCGAGTTGTAGAGCTCAGGGTTCTTCCCGAAGTGCTTCGACGGAATATTCAGCAATCCAAGGGACCTAAAACCTCAAGAAGTGCGCAAGGGCCTCCCGGAAGCCTCCAAGGTTTGGATTTTCAGGCGTCACTTTGGCTCTGGGCGATGGTTGAGGCCTGCAGAATCGAAGAGTTCATTGCAGGTTGCGGGGATCTGCAGCGGGTGGAGGAGGCCTTGTAGGACTTTGTGGGGTTTGGTCGCACGGTGTCACCTGCCACAGTATGGCGCCAAATACCTCGCATCGTAACAGCCTACAGTACACCGGCCCGCGAAAGGCCGTGCGTTGGATGCTGGTTATGCGCATCCCCAAGTAGACGCCCGCATGCATAAAGGCAGTGCAAGACAGTGCAAACCATAGTTCTAGTTGGGGACGCGTAGGTCCGAACATATAGTTTTCAAGTCGATTTCAAGGCGAGAACCTGCCAATCCCCGTGGGACGCCGTGCATGCACTGGTCCCCGAGGCATAGTCTGCGGGCGTGCTAACGACGGTAATCCCCATGTAGACGCTGTCCGGACACGTCTGACGACATATTGTGGGTGCCTTTGATGCAACCTCCTAAAAAGTTCTCGAAGCCCGATACAGCTTGCTAGAAGGCTCTGGGGTCTCGGACACAGCTTCCTGGGGAGGTGTCTGGTTTCGATAAAGCTTCTTAAAAGGCATCCGATACAGGAACGGATCTTTTAGAGGTACTTTTGAGTTTTAACGTAGTGCCTTATCGATACCCCTTCTCGATACCTTATCGATACCCCCTAGATTGCAACATGTTTGCTGGGAAGACCATTCACCA